TAGAATTGTCCTAGACCGGTCTGGTTCCGATCAGGCAAAAAAACAGAGACTAGTTCGCAAAAGTAGGTTTTGGACAAAATTGTCCATAACAAAATTTTTTTTGGTCAAATCGAGAATCCGAGATATACATCTTGTCCGTCTTGAGCCAAGGAACACAGTGGTGTACAAATCTTGATTCTAGGTCATACGGTCGATGAGTTATGGGCAATTTAGTACTTTTGGTTGCTGTAGCGCCACCTATGGGCCAATCAGGGTCATACTCTGATAGGTTCTCCCCAAACTGAGGCCCTAGCACCTGGCCAGGTTTCAAGTCTCTAGGCCTTACGGTTTGGGCTGCACGATGCGTTTTAGGTTTTTTTTTTTTTCAAATAGCAATTACAATAGGTTTTCAGCACTTCGTGCTTGAACACCTAATAATAGGCGACCTTTTTGACAGTTACAGCGCCACCTATGGTCCGATCTCCATGAAACTCTGCATGCTTCTTCACCATGTCATGACACATGTGCTCATCAATTTTTGTGAAGTTCTGAGTTTTTATTTATGATTTATAGGCTTTTGAGTGTATTTTGACACGCCCCCTTTACTAAATGACCCTGTTACAGTGAACCAAAGGGCAAAGTTCAACTTTTTTTTGATAATTATTGATCTAGAGAGTCCATAGAATTGTCCTAGACCGGTCTGGTTCCGATCAGGCAAAAAAACAGAGACTAGTTCGCAAAAGTAGGTTTTGGACAAAATTGTCCATAACAAAATTTTTTTGCTCAAATCGAGAATCCGAGATATACATCTTGTCCGTCTTGAGCCAAGGAACACAGTGGTGTACAAATCTTGATTCTAGGTCATACGGTCGATGAGTTATGGGCAATTTAGTACTTTTGGTTGCTGTAGCGCCACCTATGGGCCAATCAGGGTCATACTCTGATAGGTTCTCCCCAAACTGAGGCCCTAGCACCTGGCCAGGTTTCAAGTCTCTAGGCCTTACGGTTTGGGCTGCACGATGCGTTTTAGGTTTTTTTTTTTTTCAAATAGCAATTACAATAGGTTTTCAGCACTTCGTGCTTGAACACCTAATAAAAATATATGTTTGGAATAATTTGACACAATAATTATCTGAATGTTAACTGATTAAAGAATGGATCAAACAAAGTACAGGACATATAATTACTTCATTTTTTATTTATCTTCTGGTTTTAGTTTCTTTTTTTTCTTTTCTTTTTTTTTTATGTCACAAAATAGCCAAGCTTACTGCCCAACCCACATCTCTTAGTAATCATCTACTTTATTTTTCTGCCCGACTGCTGCAGGCGCTTCATATGTTTCAAAGAAAGATTATGTCATGAAGCTTTTGCCTGAGAGTGGTTTGCTTTCTATTCTTGTTGTAAATCAAGTCATATCCCAGCAGTCTGCATCACAAGGTCTCGTCAGTCTAACACCTAGTACAATCGTCCAATCCATTAGGGAACTTTTTGAAGTTCCTTTTGCTGGCCTTTTTACATCTTACAAAAGTGTTATATTAGTTTTGCTTCGAAGAGGAAAGTGAAGCCATATGCTGATTTCCATTCACCTCATCGCAATGAGTGGCAGACTTCAACACATTAACATTCTCGCATGCAATCTATAAAAATAGCTCATTCTGACAACTGATGCCTACTTTTCCCCTGTGCTTGCCCTAACTTTTCTTCAGCCCCATAAACATCTCAGAGAACATTTAATACATGTGCTTTCAAGTATCACAGAGTTTCCTCTCAGGTGAGCGTCATATAAAATAGTAGTGGATGAAGCTCAGGGGATTTCAGCCCCTCGATCTAATCCCATAAACCAAGTGTATGACCAGAAATGGAGTCAAGTGAAATCTCTTCCTCTACAAAAAAACAATTTACAATGTATGAGTGGATAGAACGCACCAAGAACCATGGAGTTCCAGCAAATCGACTTTGTGAGAGCAGGTCTTTCACCTTACTCAGACGGTCAAGCACGGTCAAGTGCTGTGGTCGTGTATCTAATGAGACTGAAAAGAAGCAGGCTGACTGTGTGTGAGTGACGGGGCCTAAACAAATTAAAGAGCTCTCAATGTAAAGAGAGTGAAGGGAAATAGACTGGCAGAGAAAATAGACTTTCTTTTATGCATTCCAATGATGAAACCTCAGCAGTCAAATTATCAGACTGGATGCAGACTGCTCCACACACACGGCAGGGTTGATGGGTCTGAAGGTGGTCTCCTCTGCTCCCCCTGTGCCTCTCAGATACTGCGTTTGGACTCCGAGCCCTTTCTTCTCACAAAGGAACTGAATCGTAGCTAGCTCCATATGGATCTCCGCTCACTAGAGAAATGATCCATCGCTGTCAGATGCCATCTGATGGAAGGAGCACAGGGGAAATCTTAAAATTACTGTGTTTTCCCCTCTCCTGTCTGATAAATTATATGGGGTTTTTCCATCAGCAATGCAACGGATTGTCTTTCAAATACCCTTATTGAAATGATATCCCTACCCATCTGTCACAACTTTATGCTGAATCCCCCACTGCGGGTATGGTGAAACAGTTTTGACATTGAAGTCTTTGCTGCACAATAAAGCATTTAATATTGTTCATTAATAAGTGAATGGATGAGGATAACTGCCAAACAACATGTTATTGTGGTAGAGCTAAGAGTCCCACGATATTCCCTATGCAAAACTTTCACACATTTGTTTTCTGTTGTTGGACATTTTCAATTACTTGTTTTAATGATATAATTATATATATTTATTTTATCTCCTATCCAGCAGGTTTGGGCATAAATAGATAAGAAAGAAAGAAAGAAAGAAAGAAAGAAAGAAAGAAAGAAAGAAAGAAAGAAAGAAAGAAAGAAAGAAAGAAAGAAAGAAAGAAAGAAAGAAAGAAAGAAAGAAAGAAAGAAAGAAAGAAAAAAAGTGGCTCCCTTTCAATTCATTTGAATTGGCCGCATTCTGAATTAGAATTACATGAATTTAAATATACTGAATTACATTTGAAAGAGAATTCAATGGATAATGACATTCTGGGAAATAACGTGTTATTCAACATTGATCCATAAAGTTAATTTATGGAATATAAGGAAGTACATAAATTAAAAATGTTGTACACAATACGATATTTTGGAAAGCAGTCTCTTCGTACTCTATCAAAAAATATCCGTTGTCTTTTTTAACATATTTTAAAATGTAATTTATTTCAGCCATTTAATCCAGTCTTCAGTGTCACATGATCATTCAGAAATAATTTGCATAAACTGTAATATGAATGCTGATATGAATTTTGATTAAAAACAGTTGTGCTGCTTCATATATTTGTGGAAAATATATATTTTTTCTTTTCTAGATTCTTTGATGAATAGAAAGTTCAAAAGAACAGCATTAATTTAAAATATACAAATCATTTGTAACATAGATGTTCTTACTGTCACGTTTGGTTCATTTAATCTGCCCTTGCTAAATAAAAGTAATAAAATATTAATGGGACCAAACTTTTAAAGAGTAGTGTGGAAGTAAATTCTTTTGGAGGAGGCGTGGCTTTGAAGGGAGGGTGGGATATTACGCTTTCAAAGCTAGCTTGCTTTAGGTAGCCTATCTGAAATTGCCTACACTGCCTTTAAATGACTTGTCATTTTTAAAGAAACAAACAAAAACAAAACAAAAACTTTATCTAATTTATTTTTAGAAATGTGGATGTCTCCAAATGGAGAGTTTCTCAGATTTAGCTCACCCTACCCGTAAACACAACCCTCACATTTTCTCCCACAACATAGGCTTTACAATGTTACAGTTTATTTTGTTTTAAACTTTTTAAAAAAGCACAATATTGTTTTCAAAATACTTATATACTTTCCCATTTCACTGCAAATGTGATGTTTGGAGCAAGAATGCTGATTTTTGTTTGTATTATGTAATGCATTCTTCACATGTGGTCCTACTTCCTCTGAATGTGGTTTTAGTGATCAGATCATACAACATTTTGGACCTCCTTTACTAACCCTCGCTGCTTTACTCGCTGTGATCGGATTCACTGGATGCTAATACCAGGTGTAAGCAGGGAATAGTTAACATCTGTCTCTTTCAGTACACTGTGTGTGAGAAGTTTAGTGATCACAGACCGTATCCAGTAGAAGCTTGTCTCACACCTGGAGGCCTGAATGATCTCAACGCCTTGATGGTTTGGCGTCTACTGAAAATTGCAGAACTTTAGAGATTTTCTACCCCCACACTTGGACCCTCCTCACTCAAAAAAGAGTCTCTCTGTTATAGCCCACCATGTGTTGTGAGGATTATCTCTTAGTCTAACTCCGGATGGAAGCTTGCCATGCCATCTGCTCCGAGGATGATCAGACTCAGGGATTCACGCCAATGCCTGACCAGCAGTAAATTAAGGTAAAGTGTTTGTGATGAGAAAACCCAGAAACACAAATAACAACACTCTGTATTGCTCAGTGCGTTTCAGGCACACCATTAACATGCTCAATGGCTTTGCATCATAAAGTCATAAAGACTTTTAAAAGTCTTTTAAATGGGGTCAATCCACATCCAGGGATTCACACATACGTTATTAACACAGAGTGAAATAAGCCAAACAGGAAAATTTAATTAGCGAGATTTCGAGAATAGGCTATAGGCTACCAACGTTCAACGTTCATGAGCAAGGTGAAAACAAGTCAATGTAACAAAAATCCGCCGGCTCGCTTACTGAAAAGCTCTATATCCCTTGAGGGTAACACAGCAAAGCTGACCACGCCGACTATCTTTAGCACTAGTGGGACCCGCATTAATCTGGCATTTTAAAGGGGGAGGAGATCCAATCTCTGGGAGGGAAGTAACGCCGGACGAGCAGCCTCTGACACCCACAGGATCCCTGTACCGAGAGCATCAGTCCTGAGCGCACATGAGCGTTACAGAAGCCAGCCTCTCTCTCTCTCTCTCTCTCTCTCTCTCTCTCTCTCTCTCTCTCTCTCTCTCTCTCTCTCTCTCTCTCTCTCTCTCTCTCTCTCTCTCGCTTCTCTGTCCCCTTGACACTGCAGGGGTGAATACTGAATTCAGCAAGCGCTTTGCTCTCCCCCTCATTCTGTTTTCACAGAGCTCTGCACAATGCTCAGATGAGAGAGGGAGAGACAGTGTGTAAGAGAAAGAGAGGGCAAGTTAAAGAGAGCCAAAGAGAGAGCGAGAGGGTGAGCGCATTACAGAGAGTGATTGAGGAGAAGACCAGAATAAGAGCGTGTGTGCAAGACCGAAGAGTTTATTGCAATAGCGACTGGAGGTCTGGATTGTGCCGCTTTAATCCACGGGAGACTTTGTGGGACGTTTGGAAGGTACGTGCAAATGTTTGTATTTAAACAGCCTGTTTAAAGGTGACCACAAAGACAATTTCTTTCAGATTAAATGTGAAGTGAAAGCAAACTATAGAAATTCCAAAAATTGAATAGCCAATGGGGAGCTCCTGCAGTTGTTGTGCAATCATCATTCAGAGGTTGTTACTTAAACGAGTACTGAAATGTGAGTCTACCACTTTTTAGTATCACTCTGGAATGAGACATCCTGTAAAAGACAAGTGCTCATGTAGATATGCGTAATGTGTGAGTGTTATTGAGATCTAATTGAAGCATGTGATGGGCAGCTTGCAGCCATTAAGCAGATGCTAGGGGTCAGCTCTTGGTGATGCACTGGTGATAGATAAAATATTTATCCTAAGTGAGTGCTGTTATGAATAAGAAATGATTTGCGATGAATTTATTCCCATATTTAAGAATAAACTACTTTATATATGTCGTGGGATAGTTAACCCAAAAATGAAAATTCTGTCATCATTTACTCATGTTGTTCTAAATCTGTATGATTTTCTCTCTGTTCTGCGGAACTAAAAACATGATACTTTGAACAAAATATTTGTGTTTCACAGAAGAAAAGAAGTCATACAGGTTTGGAATGATATGAGTGTGAGTTAATGACTTTTCATTTTAGCGTGAACTGTTTCTTTAAGATTTTGCACAGAAAGATTGCGTATGGTTCAAATATGTTCTTCATGAATTTTAACATCAGGCATTTTATCTTCAGAGTGACGGGGATGGAAAGCAAATTCGGAATAAAAATGGCTGACAATGAGCATTGTGCTGTCATACTGTCAGTGCAGAACCTTGTTTCAGGTATCAAACAGAGAAGTTTACTAAACAAATAATGACACTGCACATGCCGGAGGTGAAAAAAGACTGTGCAGACAGATCTCATAAACTAAGTCAACCTGAAATCTTCAGTCATTTCCTGTAAACTACAATTAGAATCACAATGTTCTGCCCAAGCATAAGTATATCTGAGTTGCCTCATGCCACATAGAACAATGATGGATGATTCTATGTTTGAAATGGTCCCTAAGATGGACTGTTATTGTGTTTGAATGTTTTGTATTCCTGTGTGTTTGCATAATTACCCCATTGTTTCCATATTAAAAACAGTGGAATGTACATATCTGCATTTGACAAGGAATCCATTCAACATTGATTCGCCGCTAAATTAACACACAATAACATTTGTTCTCCATTTCCCAATGGCACAGCTTTCAACATCTAACCTCAGCTGATAATAGTCCATGGAAAGCCATTGTTCATGGTCTTAACGTCAGCTATGTGTGTTCAGACCTTCAAACGGCAGTATATCAGTGTCTAGGTTGCTCTCTTGGGCTTCATCTGGAAGGGCCAATAACTCTGTGAATATGAGATTAGATACAGTGTTTCATTGGATCTCAGACTCAGAGGACAACAGCACAATTACACACATCTCTTTATTTACCACAGCCTGCATTAATGTGGTGGCTAAATACAGAATGAGAAACACACAATGAGAAAGAAGTGGAGAAAAGAGATATTAAAAATATGCTTACTGTATGTTTTACATTTATTTAATTATTTCATTTTATAACATCTTATAATTTACAATAGTTATATATATATATATATATATATATATATATATATATATTTACACAGAAGAAAGAAATTCACAGGTTTGGAATGACATGATAGCGAGTAAATGATGACAGAATGTTTACTTTTTTGGGGTGAACTGCTCCTTTAAATACCAGTTAAAGGGTTAGTTCACCGAAACATTCTGTCAGTTATTACGTCAGAACGTAGGCTCACTATTGGCCAGCATCACACTCATGACCAGCGTCGGCCAATAGTGAGCCTACGTTCTGATGTAGCGCTGCGCTGTTACACTACGTGAACTCACTCAGAGGCCCACATAGAACAAAACGAATAGTTGAATAAAGTTGTTATTTTTGTTTGTTTTTTGCGCACAAAAAGTATTCCCGTCACTTGATAAACTTATGGTTGAGCCACTGTAGTTACTTGGACTATTTTAACGATGTTTTTATTTACTTTCTGGGCCAGCAGGTTTCAATTACAATAGAAGCCTAGGAGGAGTGAGACAGCTCTCAGATTTCATCAAAAATATCTTAAATTGTGTTCCGAAGATGAACAAGTCTTACGGGGTTGGAACAACATGAGGGTGAGTAATTACTGACAGAATTTTCATTTTTGGGTGAACTAACCCTTTAAGTACCAACTAGGTCTTAATACCACTCAGTATTTTACTGGATGTTGGTCGAAATTCGATATCGGCCATGAAATTCAAGGTATGATAAATCACTCTACTGTTCCAAACACAACAGAATAAGAAATCATCATGACACTGTGCAGGGTGTATATGGAACAAATAGCTTTCAAGGGGCTATGAATGTCTGCTCTTCCAAAACCATGAGGGAATTCATGCTCAAATCAACCTAAATCATAACCAGGTTATCAGAACAAACACTTTATTAGAAAATACACCCATACTGTCCTGTACGTGCCAGAAATGTAATCTGGTGAAATAACCAAAAAAAGCTATTTTTACAAAATATATTGTACCTTTAATAGCAATTTATATAACTACACAAGTACATTGTAGTTTATTTTTGTGTTCCCAGATGTGGTTGCCACCGTGTCTGACCACAATAAAATAAAATAAAAATCTGGGATTCAAAATTGAATTTAAACAGAAAAATGATAAGGGTATGCTGTAAAAAGAACAATAAATGTGTCAATTCACTAATCTAATAATCAAATTTGTTGATCTTGTGACCTTGTATAGACAGTCAGAAGTTGAAGCTCCTTGATACTTCTTGATGCTCCTTGGATCATCTTAAATCATGCTGGAGAACATCAGGTTTGACACAAACTTATGGAGTTTATGGAGCTCAAATGCTGTCATTGAAGCAAAAGAGGGAAAAAAACACTTACACTCATGTTAATCTTTAAAATCATTAAAAAAAATGCAGCTATATAAAAGCCACATTATGTGCAAATAACTTTGAAGTCATTCACTTCATGTAAATTCACTTTCAAGATTAAGATTCATGTGAATAAATGCAGACAACATATAGGCCTACACATCTTTGTGTACAGTGACACAGAGAAAAAAAAAACACTTTCATCTACTTCAAAAACAAAAGAACAAAAACCCATATTTCATATCATAGAAATAAGAGGATTCAAACATTGCAGCAGCTAGAAGCTCAGTTAAATAAAAAATATTTGCAAGTGTGGGTGCTGAAAATCATTCAGCCTTGGGGTGGAACTACCACACTGTTCTGGCCAGCACATGATATCAGAGAGAAAAAATAAGTAGCAGCGAGAAGCATTTTTATGGACCATAAGATTTCTCCAATGCATAATTTTTTCTTAAAGTGCCCCTATATGCTTTTTTAAAGGTATCTAATTTTGTTTTGGATGTCTACAACAGGTTAACATACATTAGAGATCAAAAAACAATTTAGTTTTCTCATAATATATGTTGCATTGCAGAATCACCTCTTTTCTCAAAGTATGAAACAGTTCGATAAAGGATTTGCTCTCTCTAAACGCCTCCTTTCCAAAAGCCCACCTTGCTCTGATTTGTTAGATGGCCTAGTAGTATTGGTCTACCACTGGCAGCACGTGTCAGAAATGAAACATCCATAACCATATCTGAATTTCAGCTCCAGGACGCTTCCTTAGAACTATACACAGTGATACGCAGCATCGGTTTTACCATATCAAGTCCAGCGTGAGTCCTCATCCTTTCGAAGTGCATGCAAAGTTGATTTGCTTTTGCAGCATAGAAAATGTCTCAGGTTACTACTGTAACCATAGTTCCCTGAGAAAGGGAACGAGACGATGCGTCATCGACGCTTTGGGAACGCCCCCAGCGTGAATGCGTCTGAGCATCAATGTCAACTAGTCCAATGGAAAGAATGAGCGTCACGGGCGGGTGACGTCATGACCAGGAAGGCATAAGAGCACATCCGGTGAAACGCGGCATTAGCTTCAAAAAGTCGAAGCAAGCCGATCACAGGGATGCAGGAAGTATGGCAGGGTGATGCATCGTCTCGTTCCCTTTCTCAGGGAACTATGGTTACAGTAGTAACCTGAGACGTTCCCTTTCGAGGAAACTCGCGATGCGTCATCGACGCTTTGGGAACGAGAATACCCAAAACCCCAGAATTCCAAGTACCTGAGTGTCAGTCTGTTGGAACTAAGCACTAAGCACCTGAGAACCTGGGCAGCATCTAGGTCCAAACTGTAAAACCTGACGAATGTGAGCGGTGAGGACCAGCCTGCCGCATCACAAACGTCTTGAAGAGAAACTCCAAATAGTAAGGCTTTAGAGGCCGCCATACCCCTCGTAGAGTGAGCTCTGACTGCCAAAGGACACGGCTGGTCAGAGTACTCGTATGCAAGTGAAATAGCCTCAAATATCCACTTACTAACCGTCTGTTTAAAAGCAGGAAGACCCTTCTTAGGTGATCCAAAGCAAATAAATAACTGGTCGGACTTCCTCATTGAAGATGTCCGATGAACATAAGTATCCAGTGCTCGCACTGGACACAAGAGGTTCAGCCTTTCCTGGTCCGCAGATGTAAAAGGAGGACAGAAACCTGCAGCACAATAGGCCTTGGAATAATGGTAGGCACCTTTGGAACATATCCATGTTTCGGGTAAGATTGCCTTGGCCATCCCCGGTGCACTCAAGGCAGGTGGGGACCGAAAGGGCCTGAAGGTCCGACTCTAATAGGGATGAAATAGCTAGCAGAAAATAGTCTTAAAAGAAAGGAACTTCTCTGAGACCAAATCTAAGGGCTCGAAGGGAGCCCCAGATAGGCCTTCAGAACTATTGCAAGGTCCCAAGCCAGCACCCTAGTGCAAGTTGCAGGCCTCAGCCTCAAAGTGCCACGAAGGAAACGAGTGATCAGGGGGTCTCGACCCAAAAATGTACTACCCACCAGGGCGTGGAAAGC